AAAAACGAGAAGCACATTAATTCATAAATGTGATCTAACAAAGGTAAAGGGAAAAAATTAACCATGTTTGCTGTTCATGTGGCTTGTAATTGGGATGAAGTAAACATCTTTTGAGTAATTTAACATAAAATTGTTTGATAGTGTTAATTTGGAAAGCCAAAACTCTAGCGGGTCCACCAGACCCATGAACACTGGCTGAGTAACAAAAATATGAACACCACACAAGGGTTAAAACACGTCTAAAGACCCATTTGTACTTCTTGGCTTTCAAGTCGGTTTGAGGCTGTCATTATTTTTTTCTTATAATTTTCTTATCCTTGACTTTACTTTCCTTTTAAATTGTATCTGATTATTCAGTTGTACAGTACTTTGGTCAACAGTTGTTGTCTTTAAAGTAATATATAAATAAGATTGATTTGATTTGATTTATTCTGATATTAAAAAACAGTATTTAATCCAACATGCGATTAATGTGTTTGGGATGAATAGGTGTTTGGATGGTATGCTGATAACTGGATGATATATGCAGGAGACTGACATGATGATAATCATGTATTATGTTCAAAAAAACTAATTCATTAGGACATAATAATACTAAGCTTAGAACATCAGATTACATTACCAATTATTTTTTCTACATGTTCTATTCTTTATTCAGATTTGAGAATTGCAGTTTGTCAGAGATCAGCTGTGCTGCTCTGGTCCGGGCTCTGAAGTCCAACCCCCCCTATCTGAAACATGTGGATCTAATAGGAGACAACCTACAGGAATCAGGAATGAAACAACTGTGTGATTACCTGGAGAGTCCACACTGTAGACTGGAGACCTTAAGGTCAGTTAACTCCACAACTGAGGAACAAAATAAATTTTTTAAATTTTGTTTATCAGTGTGACTATCATTCATTCTGAGTCTGCAGAGCAAACAAAGCAAAAGACTAAGGAGCACATGGTGCACATTAAACAATATTCACAGCATTTAGAATCTAATAATGCTGAATTGCACATTAAAAAATATGGTTCATCAAAATACAAGCCCGTTCAGATCCCTGTTGGCATGCATTTCACAAGGGCTATGGTTATGTGCTGGAAATGTTATTTCTAACACATTCATAATAGCAAGCTGCTCACTTCTTACTGGACCCACACCTCCCACAAGTGGCAGATCAGAAACAGTTTAACACAAAAAGTGAGTTTATTTCAAAGGCAAATCCTGCTAGTGGCTTTATATATAGTCCTTTTTAATATTATTTGTTTAGTATTACTTCTTTTTCTGCATCTTTTCTGGACAAGGCTGTCATATAACAAAGGTTTAACATTTCATTTTCCTGCAAGCTTTTCTTGATCCTATCACACCGTGTTCCTACAGGCT